TAAAAAAAGTCCCGTCGAAATCGGTCCAACCATTGCAGAGATTAGCCGGAACAAACAGACAGACAGACAAAAATTGTAAAAAATTTATTTTGTGTATGTACGTATTTATATTCATGTGCATGAACCGAAAGTTTTCTTTGTATAAAAATTAATAATGATATTTTTAATGTAAATGACATATTATTTGCATTAATTGATACAATTAGCAACTCCTCGATACTCGTTAAAATAGGTAATTAAAATAACTCCTAATGAAAATTTGGTATTTAGGTATTTTTATTATTATTTTAAAACAATCATTGTCGTCCACTAGATAGTAATAAACCCGTTTTATTATAAAATATTTCTGAATGAAATTAGCACATACAGATAAACTTACTATGGAAAACACATTAAGCTATTTTGCCAATAAATTACTAGATATGTGACGTAGCCAAACGAGGTTTCCGGTTTTAATATATTTGTGTTGTAATAGCCATGTTATTGTTTAAACTGTGTAATATGCAGAATTGGGTTTTGGTTCGAACTTGATGACTTATTACTCAATATTAGAAACTTGAAAAGGGCCATTATTGAATATTATATGATAGTATATGATACCAACGGCCTCGGTGGTCTAGCGGTTTAGCACACGGCTTTACTTCCAATGGTCGCGGGTTCGATTCTTCGCACGGTGTAAACATTTGTAATTTATGAGTATGATTGTATCGGTCTGAGTGTTTTCTGTGTATATTATGTATGTATTTAAAAAAATCTAAGCATTTATATCAGTTGTCTAGTACCAATAACACAAGCTCTGCTTATCCTCTGCTGCTGCATATGCTCTAGCGCAGACTTCGGACAATTGGAAGTTAGGATATCTATGTTACTCATATATCTTCCATCAGGGACTTTACTTTGACAGTCCAATACAGGGGCATATTCTTTCAATCAAATCTGTCTTCATTATAATAATCTAAATATATATAACTCAAAGGTGACTGACTGACATAGTGATCTATCAACGCACAGCCCAAATCACTGGACTGATCCGTGGTTTTGACGTAGTCCTACTAAGAAAGGATTTTGATTAATTCTAATAAAATAGGGGATGAAAATGAAACTTTGTCAATATTAAACCGATCGGGCTGAAAATCGCTACTATGACGTGGTACCCCATGGGGATAAAATAAGGGACGATGTAGGATGTAAATGTATTAGTTTGAACTTATCAGTACCTAATGGAATGAATAAATTAAGACGAACAAAATAACTTTTAGTTATTTAGACTACTTTTATTTTAGAAAAATAAAGTTAAATTCTACGCGGACGAATTCGTGGGAACAGCTAGTAGGTATTAGTATAAATTTCACACAGTAGGAAACGCGGTTTTCTCACAAAATAGATAAAATGCCGAATGAAGCTGAATCACTCTGGTACTGTCGATGTAATCTGTGGGATCCTCAAAACTGTTCGTTGTTTTACTTAAAATGTTTCCATAGTCATTGCTTTCTAATGTGCAAATATTTAACAGAACAGAATACAACCACTTTCCAAACGTTTCCAATTTACAGCAGAATGTTATATGAATGTCAAAAATAAAGTAATAGTTTGTCCTTTCACCGATAGATATTTTTATTTGTATAAATATTAGTACCTGACTAATGAGATAGCAAATAAAAGAATATTCCATTCTGGTGGGCTAAGTGATTAGTTATAATAATAAAAAATATGTTTTATGATATCGATTCATATTCTGGTTCCTGCAGGACAGGCCCAACCTAGTGAAGGAATCAATGAAAACTAAATGTACAAGTAAAACAAAGTGTTATTGATATATTGTTTTATCAACATGCAATAGAATTTTAAAAAAGCAATAAATCAGAGAGAGAGAAAGTCAGATTTGCTATTGACCCAGAGATCATCAAATCTAAAGGTCACCTTACACCGTTCCACCATGGGTATGCCTGCGCTAAGAAACTTATTACAAAGAGAGTGAAGTTAAAGTTAGTGAATCCATCATGGTGATTACAAAAGGAATTAAAAATCTGCATGTAAATTAATAAATCAGAAGAAACACACTTTTGAAATTAGTACCTAATTATGTAAAAAAATTAAGTCAGACATGGTCGAACTTAATTTTTTTTATTGATTTATAAAATATGTCTTTCTATACTTTTTGATGTGTTCATATAACTATATACAAGTTTTAGTTTAACAACTAGGTTAGTTTAAATTAAATTATTCAATAGACGTCTATATCCAAAGCGGCACAACGATTTTGCGTGATTGAAGGTACCCGACATTCCGTTCAATTTTTTACCACAAAATGAGAGTATACACGCAACTATTAAATAATTTGACACAAATTGGCAAATTGTTGGCGCGAAATTATTAATTTGACGCGTCAAAATTTGAATTATGAATGAATAAGAAAATGTAGAACTATTAATTTAGTTTGGCAGTAATTGTTTATTATGTAGCATTAAATAAATTCGTTAATATTGACGCAAATCGACAAAGTGGCGCGAAATTATCGAATAATTTGATGTAATGTTTAGTGAAAATACGAAAGTTTATAACAAATTTTATTAATTAACTATTAAACATTGACACAAATTTTAAGAATTGGCGTGAAATGATTAACTTTGATAGGTTAATTTTCATATCATGATGAATAATTGAAGAATGAAATATTATATTGAGATACAACCAGTACTTAGTTTTTATAATTGTATTAATTTTTGGTTCAAATTAATACAATTATTTTTTTATTTATTTAATAATTAACTATTTATTTATATTAAATTAGGTTGGTTTGCCTTGTATTTATATATAACTTAATAAAAAAATTCGTTCATTTTGAACAAATTATTCGTAATAAGAACGTTTATAACTATTAATTTGAACTTTTAATAAAACATCAATAATACTTTTGAAACAAAGCATATGTGTATGAACAATGCCGTAAAAGTAAGGACAGATGTACATATGGTAGATGTTAAATTTCCCACGATGAAAATGTGCATATCTTTAACAACACAATACCCATAGTGTATTTATAAAATAAAAATTTGTCGTGATCAAGAACAATGACTGGATTACAATTTTCTATAAACGGTGTTTTGTAAGGTCTATTATGTTGTGTACATACCTAGTCATAAAATATCCTAGGTTTTATCTTGTATGGTGAAATCTAGGGTTATTTGTTTATTAGGGGGATATAACCATGAATTTTAATAAATATAATACCACAGATAATATAATATTACATATTAAAACTAATCTATATTCTCTCAGGAGCATAATAGACGCACTTCCAAATATTACATTAAAAAAATACTTTCATGATAAATCTATCACTATCTAAGTGGTTATTGAGAAAATTAAAAAAATATGTAGCGACTATGCTTCTTAGGGCTAGTTGTCCTTATGTACGTCGTAAGGATTTCCGTGTCGTTACCTATTAGTACACTATATGCACACTTATTAACTATATCTATTATTTTAATAATACTTGAAATATAATTAAATAAAGATCAATTAGACTGGAATTCATGGCACTTCAGAATTTTGTAATTAATTATAATTTACCATCAGTAACGGTGAGGTCACCTACCATAAAAATATTTATGCACTGCACTAAAATCATAAAGAGTATTTTTTTGTTAATTTGTGTGTAATATACGAAAACTTTAGTATTTCTTGGGATGAATATGTCTTAGATTAAATTTTCTCATATTATTGTACACCTATAGTGTACAATAATATGAGAAAATATACTATATAATCTAAAAAAATTCGTTTATGTGTTTTATTTTACTGCAATGAGAATTAAACCCGACATTTATATATGCAAAATATCATACCATCAAGGTTATTATGTATTTTAAATAAATTTTAATCATTAAAATATAATTATTATATATCTAACATAACAATATAATTGTAGGAACCACTGTAGGAAAAAAATGGCGGTTTATGTTTATTTATTTTTTATTATAAAACAATGCACAGGTGTATTGTCGCAATGCCATCTTAACTTATGTGTAGAGTCATCTAAAGCAGGTACTTACGTTCCAGATGGTTGCTGAAATACAATAAGACTTCCTCAGCGTCTTGATTTGTATTTGCGTAAGAAGGTACCATTTACCCCCAATTCTTGACTTCTCTGTGTAAAATAAAAATTATAAATTTATTACGGTCATGCTGTGATTATTATCTTTTGGGTTGCAGCTTATTGTTTAAACATTAACATAGTTCGCAGTTCGTTTGTTTACCATTTTACTGTGACACTGGTTAATGGCTCATTAATTATTTAATATTTCGAAAACGAATGAAAAATATCTCTATGAAATAATAAGAGCTAAGAAATAACACTAATTAATATTTTTATATAATACATAAACTGATCCACCGGAGCGAGTTGCCTGTATATTTCCCATGCACAAGTATTATTATTGGAAATGAAAGGAAATGATTTATTGAAATGAATGAGGTAATTATACAGATGGAGATGTACTCATTGATGGTAGTCTTGAGTAGACATTCAGTCTATTCGACTTGCAAAAAAATATTTTTAATATTGATAATTTATTAATGTCAGCTTGTTAATAATATTTCAAGGAGTAAAAACACTTATTAATTTGCCATTTCATTAGTTTGTTTTGTTGAAACTTCTATTTTATATATTGCAATAATAATATTAAACGTAACCTTAATTGGCTACCAAAAAAAAGGCACTTAAATACATTTTTTTTGGAAACATAAATACAAATGTTTGTATCGTAACGAGGAATCGAAACTTCGACCAAAAGAAGTAAGAAGTTCGAAGTATCGCAAGTAAAGCAGTGTGCTAAACCACTAGACCATCGAAACATATTATACGATGTAAATTTCTATATACGTATATATGGAACTTTTTTAAAGGTTTCTAAACCAGCTATATTTTTTTCTTGTTACAGACAGCTGCAGAAGAAAGCGCCGCTGCGTGTTCACCTCTATCCTATAATATCGAAGGCTACGCATGCGCGGGTCATAGCAGTTCGATACCGCGCGGCCGGCTCACGCGCTGATCACGAATGTAAATAAATAAAGCACGCGGTTCTACCGCATTCGAATTTTAAACTTGAAAAATCAAATGCGGTTGAATTCTTAATTTTTTCCAAAATGCGTGTTGTGTTCCTCCTTTGTGTGTGTGTTTACGTAGTGATGGGACAAAACATAAACGATATGGCGAATATGCCTAAATATGATCAAAGATATGACTACCTGGATGTAGATGCGTTGTTCAATAATAAAAGACTAGTTAGAAACTACGTGGATTGTCTAATTAGTGCATCAAGGTGTACGCCGGAAGGAAAGGCGCTTAAACGTGAGTCAAATAAATAATATACCCAGTTACCTACATTCACTTTCAATCTATGGCATATCAATATATGGCATTTTTCTAAAACATTTTTTTATGCTTGATAGGAATTGTTTATAATCGTATATATAGTCAAGTAACTGTAGAGCAAGGTGGACTGTATGCATTTAATAATAGTAAGTCAATAATAATAATCTTAATTCGTTATCTTTTTCAGTGTGAAATATATATTTTTATAAGATTTCATTCTATTGCATTGCACGTTTCTGCGGGAAAATCGCATAAATATTTATTTATACCCACCCACCCCACATACCCCATATGGGTTGATTAAATTCATCTATCAATATTCACGCTAGAACTACTACGGGTTCGACAGAGGGAACCTAGTGCCATTGGATTCTGTGCTTACAGATAATTCTTGTTTTATTTACGATAAATGTCTAAAAATATTTTAAATTTCTCTTCGGCTTTTAAATATGAAGTATAGATGCTTCTTTTTTTAAGTAACGTATCTCATAATACTCTTAAATACCTACTTGTGAATTAGAAATTATCACGAATTGATAATAAATAGACTGTTTTCTGATTTAGATATTTATATATATTTAATAATTGTGGTGAATATTTAATAGCAGTGGTAGATAAAAAACAAATTGTTATGACTATTCAGAAGCGCTTAAATTAAGTTTATATCAATAAATGATTTTCTATTCCATTCTAATTGTATATTGTTCTCCGTCGTTATTCGAGAGCTAAACTTTATGTAACATTATAATTGTATAAGGAAAGTGATAAAATCAGTAACTTATTAATAAATTCATGAGATAGATGTGATGACCTCAAACAGTCCAGGAAGTCTATGTATGTAGGTCATACAGAACCGTTCCTTAATTTTGGCAGTACGATCACAGAGTAGTGTTCTGTGGTTTAGATATTGTGCGTGAATGTAATCGTTGAAAATAATTGTAAAATATTAAATTGTAATTACATATATTTACAATATAATTCAGCGGTCACAAATATTGAAGAAAAACAAAAACAAGAGACAATCGTAATCATGGGAAGATAGCGTTCTCTATTTGAAAATTATGAAATAAATGATAAAAGACTTTTTAATTATTATTTTAGTTGGAAACTCCAATAATGAATGGATAACATATGATGATGAATAGAATAGAATAGAAAATCATTTAATCAAATAAACTTAATTTATGCACTTTTGAATAGTCATAACAATTTGTTTTTTATCTACCACTGGTTCGGAAAGCTGTCTCATCACAAGAAGAACGAGCAAGAAACTTGTGTGTTGCTCTTTTAAATAATCCTTGTAAGTTTACATTTTCAAGTCGAAACGCGTGAATATAAATTACCAATCAGCACTAATTTTTTGGGTGAAACATAAATATAAAATAAGATTAAAACAATCGTAGTGATAAGAGCAGACCAGTCCCTACAAGCAGCACTCGATGACGGATGAGCCAGCCATCACTCCACTCGACCATATTTTAGGGAGCCCAATGACCCGGCCCACCACGCCGCCACATGTCTGGACATTTTAGTGAGCATGACAACTCATTTCACTCTACCACGTCACAGCTACAAAAATTACTATATGGTAGTTACAGTATTCGCACTTTACATGAGTAATAATAACGTGAACGATAAGATCGCCTTTTGTAGTTATCACTCTATAATTTATAATCTTCTGGTGCAATAAAGAGTTTATAAAGGAAACTTAGATTAAAATTGCACCTTTAGATTTAATTGTTTGTTTCACTAGCAGGAAAACAGACCTGTTGATTTTGAAAACAAGACACCATTTTATAAACCGTATATAATGATATAAACTTACCACATTTTTGTATTATAATCAGAAAGGGACTGAAAGAAAAAGGTAAATAGATATGTACGTAGTACGAACATTAAAAAAAAATAAAAGATATTTTTAATAGTTTTTGTTAACCTATCAAAGATAGATGAATATTATTTAGCATTTGTACTTTAGAATCATATTTAGTCAAACCACAGATAATACCTTATCTGTTTGTTTATGTAACATATTACATAGTCAAACCTAAAATAATTAAAACTAGTTACTTTAAAGCCTTGCATCTATTTCTAGGTGTGAGAAAAATTATGTAAAAAGTATTTTGTCACACCTACTTAAATAAATTATGATATAAAACAAATAGTCAAAGAACAAAATAACAGAGATATTCTTTGTAAAAAGTTGTCTATGTGGATATCTCTGTCTACCTCATTTCAATCTTCTTCCTTTTAAGCTGTTTGGATTGAAGGGTAAGATAAGGCGATCCATTGAAATTACAGGATATAGAGGCATGACATCTTAGTCCGAATGCTCCGGAATGGTAACGCATGAGTAGAGTATCACGCGCGTCACAAATGACGTGATGACGTGATGTCCATAGAGCTGTTAATCTTTAAAGGTGGTCAACATATTTTCCATTCTGATTACATAAAAAGAGGTGTTTAAATATATATATTGATACGTCAAGCTAAGACTACAAAGTTATTGCTACCCAAAGATTCATATAAAGATGAAAATTGCGCGGACGGAGAAATCGGTACAAAATTGCACACACTTATAGTTCGTATAGAGAAAGAGACCATAATGCTAATATTTCTTTAATATTATGCATAAATAATGCATTAAATGAATTTAAAAAAAACTACCATATATTTGACACACACACGCATATATACTTTTTTGTTTATTGTTAAAGTCTGTAATTAAATCGAGAAAAGAATAATATTATTTGTATATAGTCTCACTGGATGTTAAATTAATTAGGTCGAAGTCGACCACTGGGCGACCACTAGTTATTATATAATGTGCGAGAATATTTGGAATTTATAATATGTGAGTTCGGCTTGAATTTACACGTTTACACCTAAAATTTGGAATTGAGTTTGAGCTTTAGAATTGACCACAGCTACACAAATATTATCCAATATTAATTTCATACGGTAAGGAAGTAAAATTATTTACAGTAATTCCTTTAATTATGCAGACTAGTATGAAATACTATAAAATGTTGTTTAATTATAGAGATACTGGCATATACATAATGTTGTTATGTAGAATAACTTGTAACACATTATTAATATTGACCTTTTATTATTTATCTAATCTATCTATACCTAGCTGCTTATAGCTTGCGTTTGTCCTGCTTCCGTATTCATTGCATAATAAAATTATTGGACAGTTTTTTTAACTTTCTATTTAATCTTCCGCATTATTAGGACCATAATGACTTGGCTTAATACCTTTCAAATAACTTACTTATCTCGTAACTTGGTAGTGCATTATAGCTATTATAATATGTAGAGTCAATGATAGATTAATTTTCATTCTATTTTTTGCTTGTTGCACAGACCTTAGACTATTCGTGAGTGAAAATCGCAACCAAACAGATTGAACTGTTTTTGAGATTAACGCGGACAAGCAAACATAAATTCTATCAATTACTGATTTATTAGTTTAATAAAGTTCTCCATTAATAGTCTCTTTCTCATATCTCTGCCGTGTACAGGCAGCGATCAGTAAGGTTTTTATTATATACTATATTGGGACAATGTAAAAAATATTACGTATAAAATAATTTTATGTTTTATGAGAAGCCATTTAGTATCCTCACTGATTATTATTGATAAACAAAAAAAATAACTATAAAGGGCTCCTTCCTTTGTAGTTAACAACATGTTTATCCTTTACGTTTCACCCAATTTGTACAGACAATGCCTTTGTTGAGTAATAAAGTGATGTCTACTGCATACAGGTAGGTCACTTTAGAAATTGAATATTTATTCACTTTCTGTCAGTACACTGCGGTTTCACTGTTACGTTTGCTGACGCTATAACAGCTTATATTTCAATGTAAGTGGTAGTTAGTAATTCACACAGTTATTGCTTTGAATAGATGTCACAACTACATGACTCTCACAACTCGTGACCCTCTAGTAGGTTTAAAAGAAGAAAATTCTAATAGCGTATAAATATAATTACGATTCCTTTTCCAGTAGTTTCATTTCAATGTCTATAGTTATCATAATTGTTGCTAGTATAAATAATAACATAACATTTTAAGTTCACCTCCCAGTCCCACTCTCCTCTCTCTCTCTCTTCTGATGTTCTACAAAAACATTTTTACTTAATATGCCCTTATATTCCATGCGATAATCTCCACTTTTGGCCACCACTCATTCATGTGTACAACATTCTTTGGTTTATGATCAGAAACTGCCTAATTCAAATTAAAAAATCATTTATTCATATAGGACATTTTATTATTAAACTTATTTTTTTTTATATTATAATTTTTTCCCTATTGTGCGTAATGAATAATAAATCATATATATCACCACAGATGTCATGTTATCATCATCGTTATTCTGGAAGACTGATATCATTCCTCCACCTCCTTACAGCTTTATATTACCTTTCAACCGAAACTCATCTTACAGACAGCTTCATAGCTGAGAAGTGTAATAGATGTACCCACACAACAAGTGGACAAGCTTGCTGTGAAAAAATCTTATAGATCTAAAAGATATGAATTTATAGGAGCAGAGTAGATCGTTAAACACTTTCAATCTCTTTTCCGAAATTGAGAGTTTTCTGCAATATTGTTTACATTTTAGCCGATCGCATTCCGCGTGAAAGACCCGTTGTGAGACACACATACTCGTAGCTATAAGGTCGACATTATACATTCTAGTCACGGTCGATGACTCTAATCGTTGTCGCTGGGAACGTGGCCCAACATTATGATGTTTTTGATTCATAACAAAATATTATGTTATGTGCTACGCACGAATAAGGAAATCGGCACTGTTACGTTTATGATTTTGTCCTGAATAAATGAGGCACGCCCGGAGAACTGATAACCAGTTGTAGCTAATTTTATTTTATGATGGTAATTGCAAATAAACCGACCACACATCCGATGGAAAGTGCGCATAACATGTGGATGAATAGAGTA